TGGCTTGAAGGAAAAGGTCGAACCTCTGACGAAACAGTTTCCAGTTTCTTCCTCCATCAGCTGTCAGTTGTAATGGTTCAGGCAGCCTTAGGTGCTCCATGACGTCGACCTTCACGTTCGGTTCAATCCCACTCCTGACACCATGTATCGTTCTTGTGTGGGCTGGTAAGAATAGACAACTCGGGTATCAGGATAACAATGCTTTGGTTTATTCCGTGTTGTTACTTATATAGCCGAAGGTGGAAAGGGGTTAGTGTAGTAGAGGGCAAGGGAAAGACACGTGGCAATGGAGAATACAGATAGCTTGTCCGCCTTGATCTGATACGATACAGTCAGTATCCGTGCGCCCGCAGCGCGAACGTCGCCGCCGGGCGAGCGCCAGTGACAGTCCGACGAGAGCGAAGAAGAAACTAAACTGACTAAACTCTCGGCGCTGCGCTGCCGCCGACTGCAACAGAAAACAAACAAAGCCAGGCGCGCGCGCGGAGAACGCCCGCTCGCAGTCCCTGCGCAACGGATGCGCCTGTCCCTAACACGTGACCTGCGAGAAACCGCGGAAATTCCCCACAGACCCCTCCCCCCCCCCCCCCCCCAACCCCAACCCCACCCCTCCATCCCCTCCTCCAGTCACGCATGTGCGCGCCCGCTGGCTGGGAGCAGACTCTACTGGAACAAGGGGAGCGGATCGGATCCACCGAACGCCATGGATCCAGTCGGATCCAGTGCTTTGCATCTCCCTGGATCCAACTGGTTACTTCCAGAATCGCGCGGATCGGAACTGCCCACAAGTTTGAATCCCGCGGATCCGAACTGGAACCGCTCCAATCTGACATTTTCGTACGGGGGTCTTCAATTTCTTGTGTCCGAGTGATGGCCGCTAGCTGGGTGTCCAGATACTCGGCCGCCAGGATGGTCTCCCAGACAGGCGGCCCGTCGTCTTGCTCAGGTTGCAGCTCCCGTAGGGCAGCAGGCAGCAGGTCCCCCGGGCACTCCCATAGGTGTGCCGCCAGGACCCATCGCCGCTGCCACACTCCTCGCACCTCCCGCTGAAGAGGTCCGGCCAGGTCCTCTTCAGGATGTGGGGGGCAAGAGTGCTGCGGAGCTGCAACTTCCTCCAGATGGTTTCCTGCTGCCGGGAAAGCCCCTTGTGGGGCCCGGCCAGGGTCTTCTGTTGGAGCGGGAGGCCCTTCAGGATCTCGCCATAGGTTACGGGGCCTCGGGTGTAGGGTGAAGCCCCGTAACTGTGGTCACCATTGATCGTGAGGAGGCCTGACTCCCTCGTGGCACGGTGATGAAGTGCGCGCATTACGAGTGAGTGGGCCATCTCGTTGCCTGTATGCCCAGAGTGTCCGGGCACCCAGGTCAACGTGTGTGTTGCGTCGTTACTTCCGGTTCTTCTCTTGTACAGCAGGTGCGCCGCTTGTCCAATTCTTCCCCGACTCATGTTGAATAGAGCCGTTCTGAAGTCAGTTGTGATGGTAGCGATCTTTACACCCTGGAGCTCTGCTTGCATACGCGCCAGGGCCACAGCAGCTTCTTCCGCTTCATCTACGTCCGTTGCCTTGATCGAGCGCGCGCCACTGTGTCCATTTACGGTCCATTCTACCGGCGCGGGGCCCGTAGCGCCATGGGGATGCGCAGCTTCGGTTTACCGGCGCGGACACGCAGCGCCATGAGGTGGCAGCGTTGAAAATGACGCGCAGCGGCCAATGGGATACTCGTTCTTTGAAACTATTAGCATCTTCGATCAACTCGCACCGGAATCGCCCTGAAACCTGGACAGTGCACAGCGCTCCTCGGTCGTGCAGCACGAAGTCGGTGCGACATCGAAGACAAACTGCGCCGCTGTGGTGCACCGCGGCGAGCTCCACCATGCGTCACCTCGCATTTTGTTCGTTTTTTTCGTGCGTAGGTCCGCGCGCGGTGCCCGTCTGCTGTCAATTTCTCCTGTTTTTTTACTCGCGGATTTGGCGGTACCACGCGAATGAACCTCGTGGACGTGATCGTCGATGGGGTCACGAAGCGGGTGACAATTCCACAGGTATATGCTGCCCATCATAGGTTGTTCGAGAAAGAGAACCACCACATAATAACCGTACCTCGGTGTCATCGAAACACCTCGCAATGCTTTCCACGAAGTTTATACCTTTCGGGCGCTCCTTGCCACCGCAGCAATCGCCGGTAACCTCGGCGATGATAAGAAGCTCGTCGTTTCGCTCTCAGAAAAGCTGAGGAATTCATCGAGTGCAGGTGCGAGGCATGTTCGATTTTGCAAGGTCGCCACATCGATAGACTGCGCGTCTGCTATTCCCCACCATCTCCTCGATTCCCGCTCCTGGCCGCAATGCCTGATGGGACTGCACCCCGCGCACCGTTGAATTTCTCGGTGCACGTTGTAGCAACGAAAAGCTGCACCGGGAGGGTGCGCTCCGGTGATCGAAGACGTCCGGTGCGCACCGGTGCACTTGATCGAAGACAACGGGGCGCACCTCCGTGCACCGGTGCGCACCGGTGCACTGCGCTCCAAGAAAGAAAGTGGAAGCTCGTCCCACCTCTTTCCACTTTTGTAGAGCGAACGCTGGAGAGGAGGCGGCCTCCTCTCCTCGGTTCGCTCCGCTGACGTGGAAAGGGTGGGAGGAGCTTCAATTTCGTTCTTGACTTGGCACCGACTATAAATGCCCTTTGGTTAGGCTTTTCGCGAGGTCTCAAAACTGGGAGCCATCAAATCGCGGCTTCACTTGGAGAAAGGAGTCTAGGTGCCGTTTGGCGCGGCTTCGAAGCTGATAACGTCGGCTCACTCCATAAAAATTAACGCTTCCGCATTCAAAAAAATGAAGCCCAGGAATGTTAGATTTCACACAAACTGATGGAAGCATACTGCTCAGAAACGAGTCTGAAAGCACCTATGATGCCATTCGGAATCATTAACTGTCCCACGGAGCGAGCTGACGTCATCAGTTTGAAGCTCGAAAACGGCAGATTGTTTCCGCGATTTCGCCTTCGGTTCCATAGGCTGGCGTGCGTCGACGGGGCTCCCATTGGCCGCTGCGCTTGTCAGTTTCCACGACCGCTCACCCCATGGCGCTGCGTGTCCATCAGCGCGCGTGTCAAGGTCACCAGGGGAGCACGCGTGCTGACCGGCGACGAAAAGTACGCAGCAGACGAAAAAGGGAGCGGACGAACGGCATTCACGACTCATAAGTGCTTAGGTCAGGGGCGGATCCAGAACTCCGTTTTGAGGGAGGGGGGGGGGGGGGCGGAAAATTTGTAAGGATACTATTCTCCCATTCTTTCGTGTGCACCAGGGGGTCCACCCATGTCTAATTTTCCTCCGAGAAGGGGGGAGAAGGGAGGTCGACTTTGTTTGGGGAAGGGGGGTGGGGTCGGCCGCCCCCATCGCCCCCCCCCCCCCCCCTTGGATCCCAAGGAGGTTACAAGTACTAGGAGGGGGCACGTTGCAATATTGGTGAAGCCTAGTCATAAAACGTTTAAACGATTTCGTGCCCAGCGTGACCGCAGATCTCTCTGTCGATTGATGCGCGTGACATGTCACGTGTGAGATGGATGGTTGATTGTAGAAGCACTCCTTGCAGGCTTGCGCGCGCTCCGTCCGGTAGGTTTCATCAGATCGAAGGCTAGACTGTGGTGTGTTCTAGTACCCCATAGCAAGACGAAGGCTAGCTACAGGGCTAGCTACGGTCACGTGATGTGGTCACGCTGGCATGGTAAGTAAGGAGAGTAAGGAGGAAAATGAGAAAGAGGCGAGGCGTCAAGGGAGCATGGCTTGTGGAGGCTACGCGGCCGACGTCATGCCCTCTCCTACCCTTCTATCCTCCTTGTTGGATCCACCTTGGATCCGCCTCTGGCTCAGGTGTACCTCGAGCTTTTGTGTTCGAAGTTCCTTTGAACGCGTAGGCGATCCCTGGCAATTATAATTGCTTTTAGAAGCTTCTATGAGGTTCATCGCTGAAAAATATCGACGATTAAAGAAAATTTTATTCTCCTCTGGAAGTCTTCACAAACTCAAAACGACGACGGCGAAAAGCGTCGATCACCTCGATAGAGTTTTCCCGCTCCTTCATAGATGGCGGCACTTGCCGCCATCTGCGGGTTGCCGGCAAACGAAGTTAAAAGGCTAAATTTGGATTTTCACATGATTACACTTTAACTCATTGGTCCCAAAAAGCATCAGTTGAGTTTGAAAAATGATTCCAAATGGAATCACTGGTCCTGAAAGTGTTAACGAAACGTCCGCACCCGGCCACCGCAGCCAAGTGAGTAGAGACAAAGGTTTTGTCTCTAGACGCAAAGCTGTTGCTAGTATACATGGCTAGCACGTGACATCATTCACAGATCGCTCCGATGACCGCCACAAACGAGGGGAAGAAGGAGCTCCCCTCTTACCGGGACCCACTTTTGTGTCTCCCAGATTTGCACAGACGTCGCTATTCTCCTCCCAGAAGATTATAGAAAATGAACCCGTAACTCAAAATTCCTTCAAAAGCAGATGCAATCTCTTTCTCTTACATGGTGGTCAAAAGTACGCAATTTGACGTCAATGCGAGCCATATATATATTCCTAACGAGCGTGTTGGTAAGATGTACTAGATAACAGAAAGTATAAATCAGAGAGATGAGAGAATGTACTCGTCTGTGTTTCGTCCTCTCTGTTTTATACTTTCTGTTATCTAGTACATCTGTTCCTAGCTTTGCGTCTACTATTCATTCCAGTCAGAGATCGGCTCTCTGACCTCTCCGCACGCTTTGATCTCCTTTTCTTTTTTAATTTCTACCCGCATAGCTTCTTTTTTTGTTTTTGAGACATACACTTTACAAATAAAATCGAAACTGAAACTAGGTTAAACTGCAAAGAAAAAGCTGTAGACGAGACTTATGGTAGCCAAAACAAGACGACAAGAGCCGGAACAATCCAAATCCGATCCTTGCCGGATCGTTTTGATAGTTTTGATCTGTTGAGAAGCGTGATCTCTGGCTGGACGTTCACGATCGGTGCATCTGTAACTGTTACAACATGTCCCAGTTAAAGATCAAGGCTTGTAACCTAATTCTGAAGGAGCACTTCGGCACGGTCGTTGCGGCTGTCGGGGGCTCCCTGTTGAAAGTGTCGTCTCGAAGCCTCCCGCAGCTTTTGAAGAGCACAGATCTGCCCGCTTCCAAGGTATGGACGAGAAGATCATTAATCCCAGCAACCAGCGCTCCTCCGCTTTTGGGTCCAAGGCACGAAGGGACTGCCGTGCCGAGTGCAGCGTCTCTGAATTGTAGTTCACGGTGGAAAACACCGTCATCACCATGGGTGGCTGTACGCAGCATGCTGACGTTGACACGAAAAACACTCGTTTAAACGAGTGAAGCAAACAACATGAAAAATAACACTAACATTCGTTTGTCTGCACCTTCCTTTTGTTGGGGTCGCTTCCCTTTTCATCTCCATGCTCCAAGCTGGATTGCAACAAGACAGGCAAACACGGGGAACACGAACATGAGCCGTACGAGGTTATGGTCACTGAAATTATTAGAACGGCAGGGAGGAGTTACAGTTGTCTCCGCCTCCTGCGCGAAATTCCTACCTACGATAACGCTTCAGCGTCTCGTCACGCCGAGCATGCACGCGCAGCCGAAGCACGACGGAAAGCAACGAGCGCCTGCTCGAGGCCGGGGAACGGAAGGAGACGCCCAGCTATAATATAAAAAGACAAAAAAAAAAAAAAAAGGTCAAGATGTTATTGTTTAAATACCGTGTTCCCCTGTGTCCTCCCTTCTTCCCATCTGTTTGGTTCGCCATCACTCTTACACCCTAGGCTCAGGGCTGAAGTTACTCCCCTCTATCTGCCATTCGTCCGCTCTCGCATTTTAGCTACAATGCCCTCAAAAACTGCCCTCGATTTCTGTCTGACGACGTCTTGAAAGTGTCACGCTGTTGCTTGTCGCAGCAGCGTAGCACCGACAGAGGTGGGTGCGGCGGGCAACTTTTATGCTGCAGGTGGTGCTGCAGTAGTTCGCTCGACTTTTTTGCCGCCGTCTCTACGACCAGCAGCTGGGAGCGCAACATCCGACAGCGTGACACAACAATTTGTTGCACCTTGGGATCACTTTCATCACTGTGTGGACGAGATGGGGCGATAAACACACCAGTCGAAGACTCGTTCCAAGTGAACCTAAAGTTTAGCTCTACGTTCCGAAGCGAGGGCGTTACCAGACGAGCCTGCGGGTGGCTCGTGAACCGCTTTTGCCGAACGCCACCACCTTATTGCAGGTGAAGAAGGCGCTGATGGTGTTGATTCACCACAACATAGTGGACTTCCGGTTGCATCCTAAGGGCTACGTGGAGTACCTCATCGATGCGGACCGTGTGCTGTACATGCTTCGGTACCCCCGCTACACGCACTGCGCCAAGACGCTGTAAGTGTGGCGTTCTTCTGTAGCTCTTGGAGCTTCTTAGAGCTAGAGCCAGGGCCAGGTTGCAAGGAAAAACATGAATCCATTTATTTGGTTCGATTGTGCGTTGGATACTATAGATTGCTTGTGAAATGACACCCGTCTGGCTCGAACTCTCGCGAGATTGTACGTTTGTGAACCTATGCCCTTCATTTTCCTATGTGCGGAGAGAGTGTTTTCCAGTGCGCTTTTGGGGATATCAACCTTACCGACCTCAGCAGTCGGCGACACGAAGGGGCATTGGCTGGTACTCAGTGTTCGCATATACTGACCGTCACTCAGAGTTAAGGCAAGCCGGAGATTGAGCAGTCAATTCGTGAAGCGGCTGGAATGCTTCCGGCAAATGCGCTACAATAACTTTGAAAGGGAAAAAGACGGAGTAAGCTAGGTCAAACAAAGTTTTTGTGCTGGCCAAATGTTTTCCCGATAACGCTTCTCTAGTTCCGTCGGCGGCAGAGCCTCCGCCTATGTGTTTGTGAGATTTATGAACACCAAAAGCGACGCTAATGAAGAGTCACTTACGTGCAGACGAATTGTAAAAAAAGACAAGAAAATTCACCGGCGTGGTTGCGCCAGATCACAGAGAGTGAAACGGCCTTTTATGAAACTGCCCTCGCCCTATAAGCAGGGCAGTGTTATTGTTATAATTTCTGGGGTCATGTTTGCGTGTGACACAAACTGAGATGGGTATTTATTGCTCCAAAACGTGAGTATTGTAGTGACTGACAGTTAGAGAATAACAGGGCGTGGCTCATTATGTCCAGACTTCATGCTTCGTAATTCGTTCTTTGGCATTCTTATCTGCTACCGAAACAATCTTATTGGCTTGAGAGCGATAATAATATGTTCAGGGCTCGCCACACCCGTAATTGCTTAATTCTCGGCGACTGTAGTGATTGCACGAGCAGACATGGAAAGAAAACTATTTGGTTTCAGATGGAACTTGCCACAAAGGTACAGTTTGCCAAGGGACCAAGAAACATTTTTCATTAATTTAGCTCAAGTGGTATTGTGTATTGCAGGACAAATCACACAGGGAGGTACTTTATGTGGCAAGGCCGTTGCAGAATTTTTTTTTTTTTTTTTGTGTGGGGGGGTGAGGTGAGGTGCCTGGGCCTGGGATGTCTCTGACCTGGGGTGCAAGGGAAGGGGGAGGGGAGGGGGGTCAAAATGCATGTGTATGTTATAGGGTCGGCCAGATTTCGTGAGGGGATACACCACTGTTGTATGGAGTAGGCTTCCACACTTTGCAGTCAGTTTTTCCTTGCACAGACGGGCATTTCATAAGTTGCTTGCATCATTCGGAAAACTACAAACACCGTGTTCGAAGAAGTTCTTTAAATTTGGCGGCAGATCTTCCTGAAAGGGGCTTCTCGATTCGGCAAGTCTTGTGCAGCATTTTTGAAAGGCTGTACCCATCTTGGGCCTATGAATCTGGCATCTTTTTAACAGACGAACTGGCGGGGTGTAGGGCCCATGGAAAGTTTGCAGGTTTTGTAATTTTTTTAACCTCAGTACCCCTAGGAAATTGCATTGAGTCATGCATAGCATCTGCATTTCTTTCCCATGTTTATCTCTAATTACGGGAACCTTAATCCCATCCTGTTGATTAGCCCTTTGGCTACTAATCTTGAGTGTCACTCATGCTGTCAATTACGGACCAGAAAGCCTGACCACAAGTCTGGCACATTTTGGGTTTTGGAGCGTGTTTGTGCGTATCCAACAGATGGCAGTGCTACCACCACTGCTCCGCCCCCTTCCAGTTAATCTGTTGTCTGTTTTTAATTTCACTAAAAAAAAAACTATTTCTAAGGAAAAAAAATTTGACATCTACAAGCCCAGGGGAAGGTGACATGACCTCAACTTGAAGGTCCGCTTTAGCTGATGAAGAAATACGGTTACTCTTTGCTCAGCAGAGATGAGTGCTGTACTGTTTCCGGTGATGAGTCATACCACCTCTCTGATGTCTCGAAACCTTTGCTTAAAATCGACATTTGGCTCAAAAATTAGAGGAAACATTCACTCTGTCTCCAGATGACGTCTGTAGCTCTCCACCTTCCCAAGTGTTTCCAGCAGTACTACAGAACTGAATGGACTCATCACACATGAGATGGTCAAGAATGAATAGAGCAGCAAATACCATGTGTAAACTAAGTGAATGTTCCCGTCTTGAATAGAACTTTGTAAAAAAAAAAATTTTTAATAAATTAGTATGTTGTATATTGCATATTATGTTGTATTATGATTTATATGTGTATATTCATCTGTGTAGCCGTGTTCACCCTCTAATCTCTAACTTGCTTTACATTACTGATTGTTTTTTCACTGAATCCCCAACTAACTTATTATCATCTCTCTCTTTTTTTTGTGCTCATAAACAACAATTGTCAGTAATAAAGCTCAGTTTAATTTAATGTAAGCGGCACTGAGATAAATAAAATGCCCATACATACAGTGTGAGTTTTAAAACTTTGTAACCACCCTACTAAAGTTCCCAATGGAACTGGTAGTATTACTAAATAAGTAAATAAATGAATATGCAATGGGTCAACATCTCCACAGAGGCATTGGTTCTCACGTGGCAAGAAAAGCGTGGCCTCTGTGGTCCCAGCCAGCTAACTGGGGCCTTCACACGCTTGGGTGCAGGTACGGTGACACTGGCGAGCTGATTGTGGAGGAGCTGCTGCAAAATGGCCGCATGTGCATGTCTGCCGTGCTGCGCAAGGTGCTCGGGAGGCTGCAGGGTGAGTCGCCATGGACCCCACATTCGCTCGGCTTTTAAAGTGTAATCTTGGGGACGTGCGGCGGGCGTATGCTATACAATATCGACCGAGCTTTAAAGAAGGGGTTCAATGGTTCCAGCGCTGAAACAATTTGCAGCTCATATTTTTATATTGTTTATCGAAACTCGGGCGAGGGAAAACGTGCCGCCTTCCCCCAAAATACTGAGATTTCGCCGCGTATCTGCGAAGGACAAAAACAAGTTCTTTCCCGATCTGCAATCTCGTGTGGTGGTCGTCGGAGCTACAGTGCGACGTCATTCGGAGTGCGCGAGTTTTCGTGGCGCCGTCTGTCGGAAGTCAACGAAACCACTTCCTCTCGGTCGTTGCCCTCCCCGTCTTTTCCGTGGCGAACCGTATCTTGTCTCGATCGCTGCCACGACCTTTGACGATGCCAAGCGGGTGCGGCGCCCTGTCATAGCCGAATCGAAACTCGAAAAGTCTACAATTGCGAAGGGTGGGGGGGGGTCCAAGACGCATTCGAACGTGGTACTCCCAGTGACGTCGGCCCTCAGCTCGCTCGAAAGACTGTGAGTTGAGGGATACCCCGACATTTGATTTGGTTTAACCTTTTAATAATAAAAACTAGCGCACAGAAGAAGAAACGGTCTTCCGTTTTTTATTCTATAGGCGACTTGGAAAGAGTTCCCACGGTTAATTGGCCAAAGTTCTAAATTCGTTGCGCTGCCCCATTAATTCGGACTGATCGAGGCTGGTTTCAACGTATGCGTCGTTTGCACCTACTGTAACTGTCACTGTCACAGTAGGTGCTACTGTGACAGTGACACCTACTGTGACTGTCACAAGTCACTGTGGCAAGTGTTCCTTATAACGAATGGTAGCTAACTTGGAGGGTGGGTGGGGGAGCCACCTCGCTCATGGTTACAGTTCCTTGTTTCTAGTAGAGAATGTTCCCGAAAAAAAAAAACTTGCAGGGTCTTCTTCACCACGAAAATACACTACGCACTGCCGAACGCTCATTCTCCACCTGGAGGAAGCACTAGAGGTCCGAACCAGATGCCAAAGTTTTGGCACAAACCAATATTTTATTCAAAGGTTATAAGGGATTTTCTAAAAGCGTCAATGGGGAAATGGTGACCGACGGAGCTTTCGAATACATGGAGCTCTATGGCACCAGAAACCAAAAACTGGCAAAAATGGGCCCCATCTTCGCAAAGAAATTAAAAAACAAATCCCTCGTAACTTTTGACTAAAATATTGGTTTGTGCTGAAACTTTGGCATCTGGTTCGCACCTCTAGCACTACCTTTTGGCGGAGAATGAGCCTTCAGCGATGCGTAATTTAGTTTCACGGTAGAAAAAAAAAAGCTTGTACATTTTTTGGGGGACACCCTGTATACACCACGGTGTAGGAAGGCTCTTTAGGTGTAGAGACTCCGCTCTCCGCCGCGACCAAATAATGACACCCCGCGCGCTTGGCTTCACGGAGCCACCCCCAGATGGCGCCGTAAGTTTCAGGCCATCCGGCGGCGCACCGGGCCGCCTGTGCTAGCTGCCTGCTCGGGGTGCAGCTTGCTTTCCAGTGGCTACGGGTTCGCGTATGATGTGGTATGTAGGTGGGGCCTTTCAACTATCATCTCTCTCAGCACACTGAAGTTTTCATAACCCAAAAAATGGCAGACGGACAAACAAGAGTAACTCCCTAATACCAGCCGACGCGGCGGTCTACGAGTGAAAAAGAAATATCCCTCTCCTGTAGATAATTTCTAGCCTAGCTTATATTCCGTCGTTTGTTTCCTCAGTAGCGCAACAGTAACGTCGGGAAGCGTTTGTAATATGAATAAACTCTGATAGTAGCGCAGGTAAACGATAACTTGAGTGCGACCGAAAGAAAAAAAATGCACAAAAATAAAGAATGATTAACACAAACCTTGTTAACGGATAATAAGGAACTGAATTGCTTTAAGCACCGTTCACATGACTTTCCTGAAAATATATATATCGGGTTCGCAAATTACCGTTGATTCGACTGGACTATTAAAAAACAAAATTTTTTTTTCTACATGTGGGGCAGCTAACGTGATTATTCTTTTACATTTTAAGGCAGCCTTTGAGTCCTGCTAAATTTAACTGCTGGCCGAATTGGCACGAAGTTACACGTTTTGCATGCAGCCATTAATGAAAGCAGCATTCTTTGAAAGGTTCACTTTGTTAGTACGCTTACATTTGCATGTTGCAGACTGCAGCAAAAGATTATAGTAACCACACTCGTCAAGTAAAGCAAACCGGTTTTATTAATGGCACTTCTGATATAAGTATAATAATAATATCATCACAAACTTAAAAAAAAAAAAAATCACTGTAAAAAAAACGCTGTTAAAACATTGTTTAACGTATGACACACTCTATAGCTGCTTTTGGAGTTCTTTTCCACGTTACGAGTCGCACAGTCGGGACTCTTTCTTCTTTTCTCAAGACTGCTTCTTTGCATTTCGGTTTTTTTCTTTGCAGTCCTGTCGCATTCTTATGCAATCCAAACCCTTTTGCACGTTCGACCGAAACCGGAGAAGCGTCTGCCTTCCACGGAGGTGTCTGCATTCCACAAGAACGCCAGACAGAATCCGACCCTGAACAGATGGGCAGTCTGTTGTGTCTGCGTCTACCAAATGCAAAATAATCCCCTACAAGGCTTCTTCAATTTTGAGAGAACAACGACCGAGCATGTGACTGATGCATTCGGCAGACGTCTTTATCCTTATCGTCTCTTTTACTAATATCTTCATGTCATTGTTTTCCCTTTCTAAAATGTTTACGTTTCCCCCACTGGAGAGCAGTCGGCGCATTCATTCAAAGGTTTGGCTATTTCCGAATTCGGATCTTTGGTTTTTACATTTCTTTAATGCTCGGTTTACCATTGAAAAAAAAAATTTTAAAAAAAGTTGGAAACTATAAGAGGCGGCGTAAGCAATGGGTGACTAGCCCACGTTCCGGCGGAGGGCCGGCGACCAGACGGCCTGAACGTTTTGGCGCCCTCTAGGGGCAGGCGGAGAAAACAGGAAAGGAGGGGACGTGATGTGTTCGCCATTCTGACGGGGCGAGGAGAGGAGTCTCCACACTTAAAGAGCCTTCCTACACCGTGCTATACACTGATAAACCCTGAAAAATATCTTTAAGCTGAATATTTAACGAAGTCACGAAAACTAATTAACCGGAATCAAGCTGTCCCTGAAGACGAAAATCCCAAGTTCTGCACCATCCCCGATTACAAAAGACCCGAACACTAGCTAGGCAAAGTGGGGAAAAGATTATTTCATGGTCCCCCTTTGACTGGCACTCAACAAGGGGGGTCCCGTATGACAGAGGAAATTAATTGCGAGCATTAGTTAGCCAAAACGTAAAAAAATGTGTTTCGTGGTCCCTTTGATTGTCACCCAACCGGCTGAAGGATCCCATAGGACTGACACAATTAATTCCAAGCACTAACTAGTGAAAGAGTAAACAAAAGTTGTTTCATGGTCCGCTTTGATCGTCACCGAATCGGTTGCAGGGCCCCATACGGCCGAGTCAGTTACGTCGAAGCACTCGTTAGGCGAAGTGTAAAAGTTGTCAGCAACCTTTTTTATAATGCACGAAATGCTGCATATAAAGTGCAATTGTTTAAAATTACATATTTGAAACACGTCAAACAGTTGTTTCGGAGAGTGAAGAACCTTTATTTTTATCAAACTCCCCCGATGCATTGAGCGGGAAAACTATAAATTAATGTAAAGGTCATGTGACGTCCCGTCACGTGACACCAATTGACATTGCACGTATTTCACGAGAAACGCACTGATGTACAAACAGACAGACCGACAGTTTTGAAATTGGGGGGATAGCATTAAAAGCATTTCATGCTTTAAGAAATGTTTCATGGTCCTTTTGATCGTCACCTGACTGGTTGCAGGGTCCCATATGTCCGAGTCAGTTAGTTTGGAATCAGTTAATTTCACTTTGACTAACAATAACTGGCCAAAGCGGGGAAAAAAAAAATTGATATTGTTTCATGGCTCTTTTGACCTTCGACCGTCCCCTAACCGGTTTCAGGGTCCCACACGGCCGAGGCAGTGCGCAGCAAGTTTGTGGACCTGGTGCAGACGCACTTCCTGTGCCGTGTGCCTGCCCCCGAGCCCGGCGGCCCGGATGCTAAGGTGCCCACACTCATCCTGCTGGAGGAGGACATGTACAGCGTGCCAAAGGCAAGCCCCTCCCCTCAGCATGGCCGGCTCCCAGCTAACACCTCCTGTAGCCACGGACAGTTTAAAGGTCGACGAGCAGCCAGAACGGAGAAAACTCTCCCTCCATTCCTCATTTCCATTCGAGAAGAAGGGAGACCCTCCTTTTTGTGAGAAGTAGCTCAGGGACCCGTTCCCATGGCGAGAGGAGGGGAGAAGAGAGAAGGAGACTGCGGAACGGTTTTCTGCCCGGCAGAAGACAATTCTGTAGGTTGATCTTTAAAGGGCTTAGGACATGAAAATCAAATGGGTAGATTATTCTTGAAATGTAATGCTTGTAGGCTATTCTGTATATGCACCAAGTTTCAGGATTTTTAGAGCTTCAGTAATTGAAATGTTCAATTTACGAATGCTAATCATTTTCTCCTGGCATCCAGGCAACACTGCCCTAGTTAGTCACACCATGGTGTCCATAAACCACGTGATCATGATATTTACCGTAATATCCCAAGAGATGCCTTATCCCCGAAAGGTAGCCTGCCCCCTATTTTCGGCACAATTTGCTATTTTTTTCTGAAACAGAGATAGACGGCCCACTTCTAGTAACTGCAGGGCCCTGGCCAATGGTGTCCTGTTGTGAGAACAGTGTTACTTAACCATTTTTTGGGAGATAAGTGAACATTGCTCACCGGGAAGGGCAGTCGTCTTTGGTCCGTCGCCTCTTCCTGCGACTGCAAGTTTCGAGGTTCACAAAATATGAAACAAACAAGTTTCCAGCCTTTTTTTTTTTTTTTGACACATTGAATTTTAGCGCATTCTTTATTTTCTTGTGATTTGCTATTGATTTTAGGTGGGATATCTCTCGGAATGTTACGGTAGTTGAATGCTTTTTCATTCTAGGCGCGCCCATCTTCACCCAAGCTCACCTCGCCACAGCATGATCGCACGCTCACGCTACTCGGTTACTCCAGTGCTACTGTTGCTTTCACCCCCTTGCACTTTGACCTTCCTCCCTGCATGCATGTGCGAGATCGTCGCGGACAACAGTCAAGTTCGTCTGTGACAATCTTGTTGTCATCTCTGGAGCTTGTTGCCAGTGGGTCCAAGTCAAAATGACTAGGTTCCCACATCTTTCGATAACAGTCATTGTTGCTGCTATCAGTGTCGAAGACTCGGACGAGGCGAGCGATGCCATAGACGTCGTCGCGAAACTGCAACAAGCTTGAAACCTGGAAGGTAGACGAGAAGCTGAAGCACAAGACGTCAAGAGAGCCAAGTCTGTGGGTGCATGCAAGAGGACGCTGCACTTTGAGAAAATGACGTCGCCGACCCAACAACCGCGGCATGCTTTTCTAACGGGGCGAGTCTGAGGGTCCCACGTATAAATCGATTTATTGACAGTACTATCGCGCCATTTTCTAAACAAATTTTCGAAGTTCGACAGATTCGATCCATCACTAGTGTTTACTGCATTTTCATTTGTGGTGCTTGAATTTCTGTCCGAGGACGTTGTAGAAGTGTCATGCTGTTGGGGCGGTGCACCAGCAGTGGTGGGCATGCTGGACGCCTGCTCTGTAGGTCGCCTTCCAACTTGACAGTTTGCGGAAGCTTCGGCGACCACGAGTCGGGACACTTCGACGTTGGCAACGCTCGCGTTCGCTCGTCTTTTTGAACATAACTTTTACGATCGACCGACAGAATCACGACAACGGACGGCGTGGCACATAATCGTAGCTGCTTTGGGATTGCTTTCGATGTGTGGGTGGCATGGGACGCTAAAGTCATACCGTATTTCCCGGACTATGCGGAGCACAAGTTTGTCCGCTTCTAGCGCGAGAGCTGCGGTGTTGTCAGAATGCCGAGCTCCGATTGGCTTATTTGAAATGATAGAGGGTAGACCTCTCGAGGCAGCTAGTATTAAGGTCTACCCACTATCCTTCCAATCAGAGCCAATTGGAACTCGGCGTGTTGACGTCAGCACAACCCCTGCACAAGAAGTGGACAAACTTGCACTCCGCATCCGCATGGCCCGCTACCGGTGTCAAGTCTGCAAAAACAAATTTCAGTCGAAAAAGTCAAATTTTTCCCGGTGCCTAGTTTGCACATCAAAATTTTCAAGTGCAGCACAAATTGACGAATGCTTGCTTTAGTAGCTGACAGGCAAGCTTATATCCTACATAAATGATCATGAACATACTCTGTTATTCACAAAATCCATCACATCTGGTCACTATAAACAACCTAGGAAAAACAAATCCTCGTGTAATCTGTACCCGTAAGTAGTCTGCATCGCGTAAAATTTCAACTTGGGAATGATGTATAGACCAACTCGTGTTTATAAACAAACCAGAGTGCCCCTAGCGGATGCCACCGGCGCCGCGCTTGCACGATGGAGTGTGGGCAAGAAGCTTGCTGTCGCCCATAAACAAACCATCGAAATGCGATGTTGTCGGCGTCGGTATGAGTCCACATGCTCTTTTTCACTTTGGAATTGTTGATTCTGCATCTTCCTGGCAATGTCTGACTACTTGAGAGGCCTCAGCGAAATTACCAAGGCTCATTACACCACAAATCTCTGCGTGAATAATGTGACATGCGGTGATTCATTCTGCATGGACACCGGAATGGACGCTACAACCTGATTCGCACGAGGAGATTCCGCTCAAAATTTTTAGTCACGACATCGCTCGGGCTGCAAAAGCGTGAACCGTAGCTGAGATGGTCGACGTCGATACTGAACATCGCAAGCAGAATCGGACCAGGTGAATCGGGCATAACAAGTCGATGATGGCCATAGGTAACTGTGATCAACATGTCGTTGTATCTACTGTTTACGTCGAGCCTGCTTACCAACCTTCAAACTCATGTCTTTTGAGGCCTGCACTTACTTCTTATCGGAATTATCGGGCCAACGTTCGGTTGACGGGCCGGTGTCGTTTGAAAGAGCAGACGACAAGCAGAAACGTTTGAAAGATCAGACGACAGTTCAATATATCAGACGGCCGTTTGAACTTGAAGGCGCACTGAACATAGTCCGCAGGTGGTCTGCACAACTTGACGGTTTTCCCGTGTTCATGGGTGAATAAAACAAATCTGACGACCACGAGGATCTGTGAATTCAACCCAAAGTGCTTCCCGCCCAAGCGATCATAGTCCGACGGCGTCTGGTTTTTCGTTTTCACAGCACATATCCACGTTTTCAGGCGAACCGCCTACAGTCCCAGACAGGAAGTGCCTTCGACGCGCCACCGCTGCACCGTGACGTAACAGAGTTGAGTTTGTGTATAGTCCATGGACTATAGACTGGAAAATATGATGCACTATAAACTCGTTATAACAGACCTGGAGAGTGATGAAGATTTTTGTTCCTAGTAAAAGGAGTATGCAGAACACAGATACTATTACTACAGGCTTTGAAATGGATTCTGATTGGAGTCTGTTCTAAGTTGTGAAACTGAGAAAATGAGAATAGATACTAAAAAAACTTTGAGCCTTTTCACTCTGGTGAAGAAGTAAGAGCAGCGGAGCTGTAGCGTTTGTTCTCGATGGTGGCTTTCCAGGCGAGCGACCTGCTCTTCTTTCGCAAGGGAATCTGAAGCGTTTGACGCAGTGGAACTTTAGGCGATTGTGGCCTCGCGGCGGTTGCGGAACCATCGCGCTGCTGCGCATATCGCCACTTGTTCCGTTCCCGCTCTTCTTCCTCCGATGAAATGTTGCCGCCATCTATGAGCGACGGCAGCAACCATTTGTCTGGTTGCCGAGGCTGGAAAGGTTGCCGCGATCTAGAGTGACGGCGGCAAGCAGAAAACTGGCAAACACAACACTCTGGACAGCTACCGCCATCTATGAGTAACGGCGGCAACCAGAGCGTTGTGTCGACATTTGTTTGGTACCGGACACAATCCTGGGGAAACTACCATATTTACTCGAGTAAGAGCCGCACTGTTTATGAAGAAAACCTGAGGGTTCGCTTTTCCGCGGAGCATGCGGCTTGCCGATCACTGCGATCGGCAGCATGATTCCAGCGGTTTACAGGACAAAGATAACGTCTTCGCGCGAAGATACCATCTGGGAAGATTGCATTTGTATGGAGAATTGTTCGCTGTTATTTATGCGCAACGCGATGGTTGGCTGTATATGTGTTCTGTGGGAAAGCAGAAGCAAGGGCCTTCTTCATAAATAGTGCAACAATTACTCGAGTAAATACGGTAGCCCTTAACAGCTCCGCTGTAAAAAGTAATGGTTTATGCAAACTTCTCAACTTTGAAAGTTAGCGATTTCTTAATTCAACTGTACTGGCGATTGTTATCACTGCATACCTTCAGTCCTATGAGGCCCAGGAAGCGCCGATCATGATGACAACAGTTTGCACAATGGACGCCACCTCTGCCGAACGAAAGCCACATGATGTCAAATAATGACTGCTGTCAAAGAGTGCTATAATGGAACGGTAAACTACTTACAAAGTCCCCAATAGACCCCGTTATATCAAAATGTATGTTAGAACAAAACCTGTAATGAGCAAAGTTGGCTCAACGGCATAGATAGGAAAGCCAACCAAACTTCACAAATAGGTATGCTGCAACCTAAGATATGATGTAACCAGATCTGTTGCAACAAGGTTATAGTACTCAGGATTCCGTGTTTTCCGAGTTTATTTCTCGTGAAATTCAGAGGGTGTCTTTCGGAGTTCATTTTTTGCTAAACTTTTAAAGTTTGTCAGAGTTTTCTTCTTTTTTTTTATTCCCATTTTTCTGTAAATGTGAGTTTATTTTACTGTGTTCCCAATTTATAAAAATTTAAAAACAAAGTAAATAAAGTCCAGGTACCATGACCCGTCATCGCGAAGGAACATTGATGAGCTAAAAGGCAAACCCCTTTTGTCAGTAGTTTGAGATTTCAAAAGAAAGTGAAGTTGCATCTCCTCAGGACCTTGCACTCTCATAAAGTTTATTTGTAAAACACCGTCTATTTTGCTTTTTATTTTGTCGTCGCAACCTCAAATTTTGTACTTTTTGGGGGGGATAAATTCGAATTGACGGTAAATTTACCGGGGAGCGTTCTTTGAATATCTTCGGATGTATCCGAAAAGACGGAACCCTAGTTATGCCGTATCATTCGAAGACGCCTTCCAAGGACCGTACTTGGCGGGTGCTGAGCACTGGCGCTGTGCGTGCAGGTCCACCTTCAGCTGCTCTCGGTGGCCGCTGAAGACGAGGACCAGGAGGGGCCCCCCAGCAAGAAGTCCCGGGTGGAGAGTCAGCCGGACGAGGGCATCTACTGGCAAGTCAACTTCGAGCGCTTCCACCTCTTCTTCAGGTGGGCAGGCCTGTTCACGGCCGTTCACGACACCTCGGCCGGTATATGGGGCGCCCGACAGTGCCCGCCTCCACACGTGCCGCGTCCAGCGTTCGCTTACAACCGACTTCTCGCTACGAGGAAAGCATGTTCGGCACACCGCCTATGAGGTGACCTTGGAGCTGTGTTTCACTAGAGCAAAGGCTTTGCGGTCTTTGCGGGATCAAATGTCTATGAGAAACAGTCGTTGATAACGTCGTCAAAAATTTTTTCGGGCCAGTCAAGAAAGAATGAGACGCGAAAAAAATGGGGAATGTGCGGAAATTTTGAGTCGTTCCGCGGTTACCCGACGAATAGCGCCGGTGTCTTCTCTCGTTGTAAGAGACGACAAGAGGTTGCAAAGCACTCGCTCGATCATAGGCAGTTGCGGGTGTGCGAGCGATCCTTTAGGAGCCTTTGCCCGCGCCCAGCATCCTGAGGTGACTCGCATCGTAGAATGATCCCAGAGTGATTGTTCTGTGGTGCGAGCACCACAGAACAATCACTAAGAGGTGCTTCCCAAAAAGCTGCGGATGCTCGGAGTGACAAACGCCGTCTTGCTTCTGCACCTTGTGAATGGTGTTTCAAGGACTGGCTGTTTCGTGGCTCCATCAGTGTGGTTGGAGCTTCAAAAGTCTGCGGGGTTGCACATAGGTCCGGGCTTCGTTTTTACAAATATCCGGTTCGCTAGACCTTGGGTCGGTCGTCCGTAAGTAATTCACGATTTTCGGGTAATTTTGGGTAGTTTTAGTTGCCCCTAAGGTCCTGTATTGTCTTTTTTCCCGAGCAGCCCACGCTTTGCTCGAGCACCATCATTGAGTGAAGCTTGGCAACGCTAACCGGTGTTTGCCTCATTTCACACGTGCATGTCGAAGCAACGAAACGCGAGAAAGAAGTGTGGATGCTCTGTGACGTGACACTGGAATATAAACGGTTGCATCGGGAGAGACTGTAAGCGCAATGGCAATCTCGAGGATGTAGGCGGCTATTCACGATTGCAGAACTGCTCGTCGTGCGGCGGTTATTGCACCTGCCCGCGATCTGAGGGTCCCCGATTCAATCCTAGGCACTTGGATGTTTTGCGAGGCGCCAGGTGCACACTCCGTGCATCGCTGAGCAGTGTCACGGCAAGGATCGTTGCACTAACTGCCGTTGAGACGAGGCCAGTAACACATGGTGTGAGAACCTCGTCTCATGGCTTCTTCAGTGCTGGAAGGTGGTTTCCCCCCAGGAAAGCAAAGGAAGAAATGCAGAGCACTGCAAATGAGTGGCCGTCCCTCGGAGGTGTTCCTGCACTTATGATTCATCCTTGCATGAGGCAGCACTGTGGTGAAGGTGCTTAAAGACCTCACTTATTTTTCCTAACTGTATCTCAACAGTTGTCTCGTTCTTGGCGCTTTATACTACAGTAAAACCTCGTTATAACAAAACGGGATATAACAAACTAATGGATATAACAAAGCAATTATAATTCCCTTGCTTGCTAATAGTGGGAAGAAATGGACATTGGCTATAACAAACTAATGGTTATAACGAAATAATTATGACCGCTCCTTCAACTTTGTTATAATGAGGTTTTACTGTATACTCGTTTCAGCTTAAGTCCAGATGCAGCCGATGCTACAGGCACGAGCGTGTGGCCCTGAACAGTGCTTGCACTGCACGAGGGTGTGTGCTTGGCAGGGACGCTGAAAGCCTAGAGCTCGCTCTTGTAGCTTCTGCCATGCTCACACTTAAAGTGAAACAAAGTATAGTTGCTTTCGCTCCAAGAAGACCCAGTCGAGCAATAATAGTCTCGATCTTGGCGCTCTATTATTGCTTTTGTACCAAGACGACCTAATCAATCAATCAGTAGGTCATAGTCTCATTCTAGGTGCTCTGTTATTGCTTTTGTACCAAGATGACCTAATCAATCACTCAATCAATCAGTTATAGACTTGTTCCTGGCACTCTATAGTTGCTTTTGCACCAAGAGGACCCACTCGATCAATAATAGTCTCGTTCTTTGCACTGTACAGCTGCTTTTGCACCAAGAAGACCCAATCGATCAGTTAATCAGTCAGTAATTGTTTACTTCTTGGCACTCCATAAATGCTTTTGAAGCAAGGAGGGCCTAATCAATCAGTCAACCAACAATTCTTGTCACTCTATATTGGTCATAATCAACCCATCAATAAATAAACAACAGTTTCATTCTTTGTGCTCTGTGTAGTTGCTTTTGCAGCAAGAAGAGCCAATCGGACTTTCGATCACTCTCCCCCAGGGACCAGCTCCTGGTGCAGGCGGCCTCCCGCAGGCTGGGCCTTAAGGCCGGCGAGGTTGTCCGCACCCTGCTGCGCCTGGCCGAGACGAGGACCCACCCCAAGTCTGCCCAGAGCTGCCCCGTGAGCAAGCAGGAGGTCCACCAGCAGCTGCACAAGGAAATCTCTCTCTCCCAGAAGGTGACACCACGCTTTTGAGATCTGCGTGGTTCATTATGTTGTCGCAAATGGCAAAAGTCCGAACGATGGATAACCATAATAAAAGAGCTAAAGGTTCAATATGCCAAACTCCAGACAAAGCGAAAAACAGGGCTGTGTTTCTGCTGTGCTTCGCCGCAGATTAGGGTCGAAATGCAGTAGTGTTGCTCATTTCCTATAAAGGCAATACCGTATTTACTCGAGTAATAGCCACACTGTTTATGAAGGAAACCTGAAGGTTCGCTTTTCCGTGGAGCACGTGGATTGCCAATCACCGCGATTGACAGCATGATTCCAGCGGTTTACAGGACTGAGATAGCGTCGTCGCGCAAAGATGCCATCTATGAAGATTGCATTTGTATGGAGGCTTGTGTTCCCGATCTAGTTATTTGCTATGTTATTAATACGAAAGCATTAACTGTCTCATGGAGCGAGCTGACGTCATCAGTTTGAAGTGCGAAAACGGCTCCTAGTTTCATCGTTCCCATAGGAGCGATCTGCCTTTGGTTCCATTGGCTGGCGCGCGTCGATTGGGCTCCCATTGGCCGCTGTGCCATGGCCTCCGAAATCCCGAAGCGTGCGCGCGCTAGTACGCAGCAGAAGACAAAGGGAGCGGACGAGCGGCTTGCATGCTTTCACATTCAAAACTCATAAGAAATACTTAGGTATACCTCAAGCATTTTTACGTGTAACGCGATGATTGGCTGTATATCTGCTGTGCGGGAAAGTAGACGCAAGGGCCTTATTCATAAATAGTGTGGCTATTACTCGAGTAAGTAGGGTATTCCTCTGATAAAAGGGGCAATGCTACAATATTAATTTCGAAAGAATTTGCAGCTTTTAATTTTTACGTGTTTATCTTACTAATGGAGAAAATGCCTCATTTTTTCTAAATGTTGCAATTCCATTGCGTAATAGCAAAGCAAAGAATGGGAGTATTTTGTGACTTGCAATTGTGTGTTGGCAGCTGTGGGAACTAAGGCGTGATGCCAGCCTGGATGCACTGTAATAAGTTGACAAGATGTGCCATCATTGCCATCATGTGGTCAATCTGAGGCTATCTTTTATCAATATTGTCATGTCAACACGAGTGAAATGCGTCGAAAGCCTCATAACGTCGACACAATTGTACTAGTAGGTATATTCAGTTTTAGCGGCGCCCGTCTACCTGAGGTAGGCAAAATCATTCCTCTATCGATTTCACCCTGTCGCTACTATGTCAGTCGAACTTCCTTATGCAAAGTAACCCTATAATATTGGGTAACTGCCTTTTTCCCACTCTCCACATCGCTCAGACCAATCTTCAAGGTCGCCATGTGAATCGCAAGCAGAGGTGGCGCGCTGGAAGCTCTGGAAGAGAACCCAACCGGATCCTCCATGTCCCCGGTGCACCCTGGTACACATCCCTGCGCACGTCACTCAGAAGACAGTGTTCGAATTGAGAGTAGATAAAAACCGCCAAAAGCTTCCATTTTTTCTTTTTTAAACAACTAATGCGCATAGGCAAAATTTGTTATCAGTTCTTTGCTCCAGACGTGACAGGGAACAACCCCCGCAGTTATTTGGCCAATGTCCAAAAATTGCCGCGCCACCCCTTTAAATTGTGCCGAACCCTATGGTAGTGGCTAACTGTAGTCGTCACTGGTAAAAACTTAAATGTGCAGGACAGGCTCATCCCACAAAGCCCTCCTCTCTTTCCCTTTACCAGAGGGAATGCTGAAAAGGAGGTAAGCTTCTCCTCGCCTCCTGTTAAGAGTTTGTTCTGCCGAAGTGGAAAGAGTCGAAGGCTTTATGGGACGAGCTCGTCCTACACCCTTCAGCCATCACCGACCATAAGTAGTAAGATCTTTAGTTGGCTCCTCGTTTCTTCGCATAACTTTCCGTCGTGGTAGAACGAGCCCACTTCACTTTTCTCTTTTCCGGAGGGCACATTGAGGACGGTTGTACCTGCTCAGCACGTCTATGCTTGTGTTCAGCTATGACCTCTTCAGTCCACAGCTTCCTTTTGCGGGACATTGTGAACGCTGTACGCCCAGTGTGAAAGCAGTGAGCACTTCGTTGCTCATTAGAGATGAGAATCTTCTTGCCCCAAAAAATGCTGTCATAGGTGTAGCGAGTGTCGACGTCGGCGTGACTTTAGGATTAAGCGTTAGCGTAAGACTCAATGGCGCAGCGCACTATTGGCGCCTTTATATGCGCTCGCTCCATCGTCTTGAACGTTCTAGACGGGGAGACTCGATGAGTGACGAGCTTTAGCTGGTATCACTTTCCGAGAGGTAAAGGAAGATGAAACGAAAACGAGGGTAGCCGGGTTTGAACCCCGGACCTCCACGTGGGAGCCGCGTGCTGCACCACCAACCCTGCCACGCTCGTGGCAACACACAGGGTTTCATGTTTCCGGAGATTTATTTTTCTTAAAACTTCAAAACCAATCTTTGTGGAATTTTTTTTTTTTTTTTTCCTTTGCGGATTTGGTGTTTTTTGGCACCTATTTTTGGCGCCGGACGAAAGGTCGGCGTTGGTTGGGGAGTGACTTCGGAAAGAAAGCGGCTGCCTCACGACCCCCCTCGTACTTACGTTTTCCCAGGAGCTGGACTCATTCCTGAGCCTGCTAGTGGAGGACCCCCTGCGCCTGGTGCAGCGGTCGGACGAGCGAGGCGGCATGTTCTGCGTGGACTTGCACCGGGGTCTTAGGGTCCTCGCCGAGGCCTTCTTTGCCTCCACCGTCCAGGACCGCTTCGGGGCCAAGAGCTGCCGCATCTTCCGGTGGGCACGGGTCGACGCATCAATCTGAGACGCGCTTCAAGTCTCGTAGTGCCGCTTCTCGCCACCACTGGTCACTTTACGATACAATACAGTTATACTATAGAGACTGCAGTGACTCCAAAAGACGCTTGTCGGCAACAGAATGGTGCTCGGAAGGCGTCTTCGACCGGTCTATTTGCCGCATCCTCGTGAGCGGCTCCTTCCCTTTTCCTCGTGATGTCGTAGAAGTGTCGTGCTGCCGTTTTTTACTATCCCGGTGGCAGTGCAGCGGCGCAGGTAGATGAGACCAACGCCCGTTCCGCCGTAGGTTCCTCTTCGGCTTTACAGTTTGCGGAAGCCTAAGCAGCCACGAACTGGGACGTTGCAACGATGGTGACACTTATAGCATTCGCTCTTACTTTTTGCGGGAACTTCTACGAGCGACTGCCAGGATCACCACATCTGACAGCATGGCACGCCAAATCCCGCGACTTAATTTTTCGCCGATTCGGGACCAATGTGGATGCATCGGTTGGAATAGGGCGCTAAACGCTCCAATCCAAGACGCATTCTACGCACCGTAGTGGCGGCAGTGAGCTCCGACTTGAGATTGGCTGTTTTTCTACAAGCTGGTAACCTAGAAGCAGGCAATGCCTTTCTGGCCTGCTGTGCCTTATAAAAGGCTCAAGATACATCTAAGCACTTCTGATGAGTTGTTAATGCGAAAGCATGTACGTTATTCTTCCGCTCCCTTATTTCGTGTGCAGCGTATTTGCGTGCCACTCCGCCGGCGAGGAGAGGGCTCTGGCCTTCACTGCTTTGTCCTTGGATATTTTGTGTTATCAGCGCGCTGACGGATGCGCAGCGCCGTGGGGTGGCCGTCGTTGAAACTGACGCACAGCGGCCAATGGGAGCCTCGTCAACGCGCGCCAGCCAATAGGATTGAATCCGAAAATCCATCGGCTTACGTCTGCTCCTTTGTGATTGGGGAATTTAGGTGCCGTTGGCTAGCTTTTCACATTGTTTTATAGCTGGAAGCTGACTTCACTTGGGGAAAGGATTTAAGGTGCCGTTTGGCACGGATTCAAAGCTGATGACATCGGCTCGCTCCATGAGACAGTTAATGCTTTCGCATAAAGAAACAGTAAAAGAATAACTGTCTCACTGGATTACTCCAGAGACAATTCGAGCTAGATCCGTTTTCAAGACGGCCAACAGAGCAGAGGATTGCCGAGTGCACTCAGTTTAGGAATGGGGCGTGTGGGCTAAAGGAGCTTTGGTGCACGTAGATGAAGTTGGTGTCCCAAGGTGAAAAACCTATTTAGTGTATCTTTGAGGCAGGGTATGACCTAGATGTGTCTGCTTCGAATCCTTTTTTTGAACGGCACAAAAGATGCTGGACAGAGCCAGCAGTGAAGGTATTCAACAATTCCCTTTTGGTACAACGTGAACTGTAATACCTGCAGATGATTATTGCGGTACATAAGTCTCATGACAGTATGCAACAGCATGACAATGGTACACGTGTAGTGTTATCAGTGTACGACATCTGAGGATATTCTATGAGAGGATGTGACTACAGCCACTGAAGAGGCTACACTCCAGAGTAGTGACACTTCAGCTGTCTTTCTGATAATAATCATTGTTGCCAGTTATATGGAACTTTTACCTGAAATCTCAGAGAGCGGTTTTCCACCCGCCAGAAATGTTAAAACCGCACGCGACAGAGCAAAATGATATCACCTGATCGCGGCGTCATATCTAATGCTGAGAAAGTCACATTTTCAAGTCTTAAGCGGAGACCTTGGTCTTGAACATTTTTTGTCATTTTTGATCTAATTTATATTTAAATTTTCACGTTTATGTTGTTGTGCTGAGCACAAGCATAAGCTCATTGTTTTCCTATCTAGTATAATAGTTTTCAAGAAAATCTTTCCTTTCTCACAAATGTTTCTGCCCAAATTTGTTACAATACCTTCATAAAAAATATGGCAGAAAGTATTTCAACGTGTTCTACAAACAGTAGAAAGTGCATTAAAAACCATTCTTATAATTTTTGGCATCGTTCTAGAAAAGGTTATCAAATTGAAATATTTTTGTTGATGATTTGCAATGAGTCCTCAATGTCTTTGCAAATTAGAAAATATTATATGTAGGTGATATTTTCCAAAAATATTAGTCTCATTGCACTTTCCGATTTATGAGGTATTAGACCCTTAAACAAAATGTTCAGATTCAAAATTTTAATCATAAGATACCATAAACAAAACCTTGTGTTGCGATAAAAAAAAAATTTTTTCAAGAAAACAGGAAAAAATTTTAAACACAAAGCCTGCAAACAGTTAGGATATGGAACTTTGATTTTTATGTAACTATATAAATGTGCACTTCCTGAGTGCTGTACTCGCAATATATGTTGTTTGTGTTATCATATTAAAAACTGCGTACAGGCAGTGAGGAAGAATCTCTTCCTCACTGCCTGTGTGCTGTTTTTAATATGATATTGTCTTACTAACTAGCTGAACTCTCCACTTTACTACTAATTGTTTGTGGCTTACAACCTAAAAACACTCGCTGGTAAATTTTTCGTCAATTTCGATTGATCTGAAAAGCTCGGAATTTCAAGATCACAACGACAAGATAGAAAGAAAAAGACTTTGCTTTACAAATAAACTTCATAAGAGCTCATGGTCACTGTTCCTGAGGAGATCCCACTTCAGTTTCCTTTGAAAAATCGAACTACTGACAAAAGGAGTTCGCCTTTCAGCACGTCGAGGTTCCTTCAGGACAACGGGCATGATACCCAAACTTTATTTATTTTGTTTTTGATTTTTTTTAAATATCGGAACACAGTAAGTAATATAAACCCTGATTTTCAAAGAATTGGAAATCAAACAAAAATAGACTTTGCTAAACCTAGAATTTTCACAGAAAATTAAACTCCGAAAACTACCTTCCGAATTTTGCGAGAAATAAACTCGGAAAACACAAAATCCTACCTATAAATTTGTTTTTAAAAAATGTTATTTTTTTTTTTTTTTAAGACAGGCTTTTTTTTTAGTGATTGCCAATTACACTTTATCTGTGCTGAGCATCTGAATGGTGGCGCCTGCAAGTAAAACCGGGGATTGGAATACTAATACTCCAAGCGTAGTCTGTTTGGTGGATCTAGACGCAATGAAATAAAACTATGAGTGGCGAGATGGCGGGCTAGTTGGTTGTTCATCATGAGGATATATAGTGCAAAACAACAAGGAAGGAAGGACGAGGGAGACAGGATAAGTGCTAGTTGACAACTGGCGTTTTAATACATTCTATAGAAAAGGAGAAGAAAGAAGTTCCAGATGCTAGCGCTTAAAAGAAAGAGTGGAAAGAACACCCTCAAAGGGTGTTGTCAGTTAGCGCTTATTCTGTCTCCCTCGTCCTTCCTTCCTTGTTTTTTTGCACTGTATGTCCTCATGAAGTAGCGAGTCGTATGCCTTTTGATTGCACGCCTTGTAGCTCAGCGACGCAACAGTTAAGTGTAGAAACGTGTTAGAAAGGGTGCGGTGTCCAAACAGCAAAGTGGGAGAAACAGAGCGTCTAAGGAACCCCCTTGGCTGCCTGCAGGCTGCTGCTGTCGAAGCGGTACCTGGAGCAAAAGCAGATCGAGGAGCTGGCCATGATCCCTGCCCGAGATGCCAAGGAGATGACCTACAAGATGTTCCAGGAGAAGTTCCTCGCAGCACAGGTGAGGTCCCCCCACCGCTCGTGCTCTGCCAATAGAAGCGAAGTTGTGCACTCTTACCGTTCAAAGGTCAGAGGATGTCCACTTGGGGAAAAGAGGGTGGGCCGTCCCGTTGGGGGTACGACATTGTTCTCTTACTGGGGCCGCCACGTGGTCACATTGGCAAACAGACGTGAGTGCCGTGGCAAGTGTTAGGAACCCAGGTTCCCACACTTACCAGTGTGTACTTTTCCTGCGTACTTCAGTGACCAGAAGGCTGTGTTGTGTGTGATTAAGCGGATCGAGAGTTGATGTGCACAAAGGTGGCTGTCACCACACGCGGTAACGGCTTTTGCTGTCACTTCTTTGCACGCTGTGGCGAATTTAGTCTGTCCGGAATTTTTAAAACGAGGGAGCTTGCATTAGGGTCCTGTTAGTCCCGGGGCCAAGTTGATAGCCATGGTGACCACTATAAAAGAGGCAAAATGTATGATGTAATTAGTTATCTACCCAAGCAGCACAGATTTGGTCAATCGTTGGCCAATGGCTGTCAATGGTCCTTTGGCCAGTGGCCAACCATTGGACATTTGACTGGCCTTTCTCTGGTTGTCAGCCATCGGCCCAGCATTGGCGATAGCCATCGGCTACCATTGGCCGATGAGTGGCCACTCTTTGGCCAAAAGACCATCGCCAGCCAATGCTTTGCCAAAATCCATGCTGCTTAAGTAATTACTTCAAAAATTTTCACTTTTTTAAGTTTCTATTTTTACAGGCACTGCTTAAGGGGAATCTAAACTTGGAAGTTTGGTGTCCCTCTAAGTAAGACCACATGCTGCAGAAACGTCTGGAGCCGACTTATTTTGAGGTGACTGTCGGTAGAGTGACACTCTTTTCTTTGCTTGCAGGAGCTTCCGCGGACCCCCGACTATGCCCCTTCACGGATGATCTACCTGTTCCACGTCGACCTTCCGCAGGTAATGGCTTGCGCAGGGCACTGCCAGGTCACGCTGACTGGAGCAGGTGCTTGCTGGAAACAGGTTTTAAAGAGCCTCGGGCACCAAAAGAAAATAATAATTTTCTTTCTTATTACGCTTTGGAGTGCAATGTCAATGCATCAGTAGTTGTATTTTTCTTTGCCGCAGAGTTGTGTTTTTGTCAACAAAAAGGGCAAATCAAAATGAAAGAGCCAGCGCAAAAAAACGTGATAAGAAATCTCTAGAAGTTACACGGGTCGTCTCAACTCCTGCGACTAAGCGGGAGTTTTCTTCTGAAATAACATAGTATTTGCAGCATTCTAGTATTCCCATTCGCGCCGAGACGCAAGCATGATATCTCGGGTAGCGATGCAAGCAAGTTGATTCACGCTCAAGACAAAAGTACACGGGCTGCAAAAAACAAAATGAGAGGCGCTATCAAGCAGCTCCGGCGCAGCGTCAGACTTGGCTACTGCGCAACGGAGGCGCACAGCTGGGCACGCGGCGGCGCCAGTGTGTCTGTCGCGGCTATGACGTCACTCCTCTGAAATGCGCAGACCGGCAAGGTGCGCGCAGCGGTGGCGGAGCGCGTGGCGGCGGCAGGTCCGGCGTGCCAGCTGTGCGCCGTGACGCCACTGCTCCTCGCGCATGCGCAGCACGGCTCTCCAGGAGCCATGCAAAACTGCTCAACCTCGGCCAGTGTAGCTCACGCTATAAAACAAAATGAAGACGAGCATAAAGAAGTAGACAAAACAAGTGCTTAACGTCTCTCCGCTTTTTGTTTCCCTTTGTCTTTTTTGTGTGCTGCGTGCACATTCTTTGTTATACAGCATACCATCTTGTTTGCATATACAGGTGACCCTTCACCACAAAAAGAATACACCTCCATTATGAACGGCCAAAACTACTACGTAACTCTCATATGTTTGGCAACATGCCACAAGAAAGCACCACACTTGGCATTCTATACAGTTCTAAAACGGCACACTCTTATTACTGTAATGCGAATTTCGCGAGTTGAAAAATAATGCATAAAATTGATCACGCAAATATATCGACCCATGGTAATAAAAACATGGCATATTGCCCTAAATCACGAAATTTTGTACCCAAGAAATGTTCCTGAAATCGACAGTTTGTGCAAATTGCTAAATAATCATCCTACAGAAATGAAGATGGTTACAGAGCCATACCTGCCAACTCCCCGAATTTTTCGGGAGCCTCCCGAATTTTGATCACATCTCCCGATTGTACGGACGCGACCTCGAATCTTCCAAAAGATGTCCGCCGTCATTTTTTTTTTATGATGCCTTATTGCTAAACTATCACGCGTGTGTCATTGCGAGTTACTCGAGAGTAGGTTTAGGTTACTCCGGCGGGTTACCACGTGACAACTCAGAGCAGTAGCGTAAAACGAGGGTAGATTATCAAACGCCGAGGTACGAAACCTCTACCGAAGTTAGAGTGCATTTTGGAACACGGCTTCTATGACCATGGGTGCGCTAAGCTTCAGTTGGCTTTGTCAGGTCGTCGAGTGAGGTGCGGAACGCCGAACTACTCTTAGTGTTTCCTCGAGTTTAATTGGAACCACTGATCTGTTGGAACGATCGATGAAACTTTCAAAAGCCACGAAGAAGTACTTGCAAGTATTTCTAAGATCATACGCGACTGAGTTTCCGTGCTTTGTCGCTTCGCGGAAAGCTGACAAGTATGAATTCTGTACCGCGTGCCCCTGTGATGTGTGAGCTTTTTGCACGGCGGCAAGCTTGACATCAAGATACACATTGCTTCACGAAAGCATCGGAACCATGCTCGTGCCGTAGAAGGGCAGGGCACCACCGGCAGTTTCCTCCAAAACAGTGTGATTCGCGCAGGGTGCCTCTTCACAGAGTTTCTTGTCAAACTAAAAAAAAAAAAAAAATTTTCAAACCCCCTTCTTTCCCCCCCCCCCCTTCCCCGCACGGCGGTCTCCCGAATTTTTATGTTGCTGGGTTGGCAGGTATGGCAGAGCTGTTTAGAAAAGTGGATGAAATAAAGATGACTACTGCTTCAACGGAAGCAAAGCTGAGACGGTCATGACACTGCACAAACAAAAGCAGTCTGATTTTTACCACCTCTCCCGTACAACTGAAAGGATGTTGTCAAAAGCATTGGCAGTTTCACTGTTCTGGTACTGGAAACAAATTTAGGCTATAAAAATTGGTTGTCTCGTTGCGCTGGTTTAAACTAAGATGCTCATCAACCAACTAGCCCAAACATACCTTTTAGCAATAAAATTGGTGCCCATGAATGTCCCATTCGAACAAAATGGGCAAAGCAACAAATGTTGTGCTACGAGTGCCGTGCAGTGTGCCTGTGTGTTTATGTGCATATGTGCTTAAGTTGTCACGACTCGAACGCACCTGTAGGTCTTCAACGTTGGTTATACACCTGTGCATAAGGCAGTTGTCGAAGAGTGTTTTTTTTCGTTGTAGCTTAAATCCTACACCAGGAATCCTAAAACTTCTCAACCTCGAGGAACGCCTGTCTACTTCTAATGACGATTAAAAGGCCCCTGTCCTCTTTACCATTCTTACATTTAAAGAGACACTAACACCCCCCAAAGTATTTTACAGTGGAGCTGTTAAGGGCTAGTTTCCCGAGGATCGTGTCCCCTGCAAAGAAATGTCGACACAAAACTCTGGACAGCTACCGCCATCTATGAGCGACGGTGGCAACCAGACAACCGGCTTGCTGGCCTCGCTCATAGATGGCGGCAACCTTTCCAGCCTCTCCACTCTGGTTTTCACCAGAGTGGAAAGGCTGAATTTCTCTAGGCGTCGTCCTAGATGTTGTCCTCGAGGTCGTCCTAGAAGTCGTCCTTGAGGTTGTCCTAGACGTTGTCCTTGAGGTCGTCCTTGGGGTTGTCCAAGGAGTTGTCCTTGAGGTCGTCCTGGAAGTCATCCTTGAGATTGTCCTAGAGGTCAACCTAGAAGTCGTCCTTGAGGTCGTCCTATATCTCGTCCTCTAGGCGTAGTCCTTGAGGTCGTCCAAGAAGTCGTGCTTGAGGTCATCTCATCATAGTACAGCTTCGCTGTACTATGATGCACTAGCCTTCCCATTCACCAGAATGGGAAGGCTAAAAGTTTTTAGAGCGCAGCTCTTAGGCGCCCGTTTCCGGCTTGAGCGCCGTCGCCGTCGGCGTAACCGTGAAGTCACATGACCCCCCCCCCCCCCCCCCGAGGTCACGTCCCTGAGGTCACGTGCCTTGAGGTCACGTGATTCCCTGGGGCCATGTGACCTCCTGGGGCCACGTAGCCCCCTGGAGTCACGTGAACCCCCCCCCCCCCCCCCCCCCCCCCCCCGAGGTCATGCAACCCTCCTCTCCCCCCCCCGACGTCACGTGACCCCCCTGACGTTATACGACCCCCCTTGAGGTCACTTGACCTCAAGGAGTCGCCTATCCCTCAGTGCCCTTCCATCCTCCTCCTCAAGAGCTGCGGTCTAATCCGGCGTTACAGGGAATTGCAAACGGCTTTCATTTTTTTTTTTTGCCAGGCGATTTAGTATGGTGTCAGAAGGCTACCGATTCAATATTTTGCTACAACATCAGATCTGTTATTAACAAAGCAAAAAAGTGCAACTGTTCGAAACCGGACTAGAGAGGAAGAGGAGTTGTAGAGTAGGAGAGATTTGCCGGAAGTCATGTGGCTATGTCCGACCATGTTTTTTTTTTCTTTTTTCCTCGTTTTTTTTGGTTGTGCGAAGCGTACGAAAAACTTGCGCGTCGCACAAAAAACGCAAGTCAAGCAAATCGTGCTTGACGTTTGCACGATTTTCAAGCTCTTACCAATTTGTGTCCGTAAGACGAGCAATGTCTTCGGCTAGGAGAAGGGGCAATGACTCCGCGACGTCTTCGTGCGAATCAGCTTGGTGGTCGGGCGTGTCACCACGAAATAAATCATAATCGTTTTGATCGGTAAACGACTTCTCTTTCGAAGCTAGACAGATTCACCGGTACCCGAAACGACAGTTCTGAAGTAGAGGTCCCACACCCGTCGTCCGCCGCCATCGCTTAGTCCGCTTCGTCCAGCCTGCAACTCCCACGATATGACGCCATGTTGAGAATTACGCAGAGAATGCACAGGATGCTTCGAGTTCTCTGTGCAACTTTTTTTTTTTCTATCAATGTATTTGCAGCTTTTTCGAAGCCACAAAAAATGGGTACAATATTTTGTTATATTTTTAATATTGAGTGTGTGCCTTCGATGACCCACGACTTTGATTATATTTGGTGTGTGTGTCTAAACCATAAGAGGCACGTGACCACGGAGAAGAGAGTGAGTGCGACTCAAACCGGCCAGTTCTCAATCGGTGGTTTTCGGGCAGAAAGAAAACGAATTTCGAGCCGCAAATTCTGTTCTGGGTAGTTGGTATTTCACATGTCATGCACAAATAGAAAGAACCCTTGGTGAGCATAAATACCTTGTCAGTGTCCCTTTAATTAGTACAGAAACCTACAGACTTCGTTAACAAACAAAACAAAGTATTGCAGTAGCACCTTAGACATTTTGACAAACGGTAAATCTCAATGCAATCATTTATGTGCCAAAACTCATGCCGCACCTTCCGACGAAAACGCCTTTGGTTGTAGCTGGGGTCACGCGACAGATTACGCCGGCCAATGGAAGGGAGGCACAACCTGTCGGGGAGCCTTGCCATGGCTGTCGCTCTATTGCAACGGCCACCAACGTCCGAGTCACTGAGTTATGCTAGATTTAGCGTACTGTGGTCACGTGAGTGACCACAGTACGCTAAATCCGACGAGATCCCTCGCACGTTCCTGCAGCTGAGCCGCCAGATGCTGGAGTGGTGCTGCCAGGCGGTGTGCAACCTGGTGCTGCGCAGGGAACACATCTGCCAGGAGCACCGGCGCCTGCTGGACAAGAAGCAGCGTGTGGACCTCATCCTCGCCTCCATGGAGCACAACAAGGCCTCCCCCGAGCAAGTCCACGAGGTGGGGTGGCGCTTTTCCGCTTCTTCCTCAGTCCTTTAATGGGCACCGAGTTGGATCATGAGAGCGTAGGAATGACTGTGAATCTAATTGTTGGATTGCGAACTTCTCATTCATGCAAACCCTGCTACACTAGAACTAAAGCAGCTTCATTTTTTTTAGCAAATGAGAAAAGCTGTATTTGGTTTTTCTTCCGCGTTCTGATTTGCTCGCAATACGACCATACATTTCTTGTTTTCGTTTAGAAGGAAACTTCAACACTCTGGTTTGCTCAGAAGTCCACTGATGGGCCCTGGCAGTGCACTGACCATGGCCCCTCCCTGCGCAGGTGAAGGAGATGATCACACCCCCCGAGCGGAAGCAGCTGGCCTACGTCAAGCACGTGAGCTCCAAGATGGAGCTAAGCGAAGTGCAGCTCGACGAAACCATGCTCCTGCTGCAGCTCTACGTCAGCTCGCTCCTAAAATGAAGTCAGGGATGGCCTGGTGTCGTCTTCCGACTCCGTGTCGTAGTTTGCCGGGAAGAGCTCAGAAAAAATGCTCCACTAGGTTCCTCATCCACTCACGCCCGCATCGGCCAATCATACTCGGCATCAAATATTTCGCGCTACGTTGTTGAGGCTAGCATGGCTTCCACGGTGCTCCAGTGCTGTCAAAGGTATACTTGCACGAATGCCTGGCTTCGTTGGGCATTTCCTGCACTTGTGAATACCCTACGTGCAAACGAGAGGCGAGAGGAAGACACGTGCTCTCTCGCAGCAGCACGGGGCTGCGGCACCGTGAAAGCTATGCTATCATTGACTACGTGGCACGAAATAGTTGACACCAAATACATGGACCATTCTATGACTGTCGTGTTATTTTAAATGCGAAGAGAGAGCTTTCTTTATTCGCTTGTTTTCTAAGTTGTCCAAGCAGCAGCTACCATTATCAGTGCGAAAACTGGGATAACCCGTCTTCGTACGCAACTCACCCGAATTGCCAAGTGGCCAAGTGCATTGGCGCATCGCAGCACGTAGAATGAAAACTCGTGCCAAGTTCAATTTCTGCCCCTGCCCGTTTCGATCTGGTTGAGCAACATACCGGCGTGCGGTCGTGCATCACTGCTGCAGGATGCGCGTCAATGGCCCCAGGCTAGCGGCAGTACAGACACCAGGTGCCTCTTGGGCAAACTGACCTCCTGCTGTCTTAAACTTTCATACAACAAATTAGTTACAGTCGGCGACAAGTTAAAAACACAGTACATACTCCACCTCGGGCACGAGCTCAGCCGGACGTTGGACGCATGAGCTTGGGCACCTTCGACAAAACTTTGTCGCATGTGCGGCTGAAGGCAGAGCTCCTGCTAGGTTCTTAACCTGTCACCTACTATAAAAGACAACGCGATTTTCAAGAATAAAAGCAGATGGGTTACCTGCCCAAACGTTATAGTCACGCTCATTGTTTCGTCGATTGTGGCACAGTTCTTCCGCATCCTTGATGCGCTTTTCCGACGGATGCCACAGTGGCGCGCCAGGGTTGCTAAGGGCACCGGTTGCCAGTGAAACATTGAAAGAAATTAAGCAGTCTTGGAATTAAAATATTTCACAATTTCTAAGCAGCGATTATGTCGTAATATTTTTGATGTTCTGTGCCAGCAGCGATGGCCAGTTCCAAGTGTAGCAGAGATCCTTTGAATAGAGGATGTTGGCCGTCATGTCTACCTGTCTCTGGGCCTGAATTTTTTTTCTTCTATTCAAGCGGTAAATGTTTAGTCACTGATGGGACGGGAACGACGGGTCATCTCTCTCGGGCCTCCAATGTGCACTCGCGTCTTTTGCCGTGCTTTGGCTTTGCATGCGCACTCAAAGTTCACGAGATGCCAAAGTGTCAACGAAGGCAGGAAGCTTGCGCTGGAGGCGGGACAACTGAGACTCGTCCCTGCCGTTCTCTTCCTGCCAGTGACCATAACATGCAAGAACTAAGGCCATGGCGCAGGAAAGAAAAGCACCAACAGAATACTTGTCCTTTTTTATGGCACATAGTCACTGGATCACCCTAATACTTGCACCACCTTGCCTGCATTCTTAACATTTCTTCCTGTAAAAACATGCATATTTCAATCCAAGAGATGGCAGCCAAGGTGCTTCTGCAAACTCCTCTTGTCACATAACACCGGCCCTTCCCCTCTTTGGACCTCACTGGTTCCCTCCATCGCGAAAACTCACCCAATTCATCGCAGAGAAAATCCCTGGCCGGAGACCTCAAAGAAGCCGCCTTTCCGAGTTGAGGCCGTGTTGTCAAAACCGCGGCCACAATTGGACCTCCACACACGGTGCAAAGCTGGCACCTGCTACATGAGGCACTTTGACCGGCACGAGACCGATTCTTTATTCAGTCCGTAATAAAATATGCGTCTCTCAAAGACGGACACACCAAATGTTTCCCTCCGGGGAGGGGGACCAGAAAGGCACGACGTCTTCCCTCAGGACGCGGCGTGGTACTTGACGAAGGCCACGGCAGCCAGTTCCTTGCAGAACTCTTCGATGACAATAAGGGCCTCCAGGACCGATGACTCTTCGCCGAGTGCCGCGTCGTCGCCACCATCGCCCAGCAGCGCGCTCCGCGTGAGCACCAGCTTCCGCCGCAGACTGTCCGTGCCTCTCACGGCCACCTGGATCTCCTCCACGACCTTAAGCAGTGAGGTGAACAGCGAGCGTGCCCCGGGTGCCAGCGGAAGCAGCGGGTTCAGCAGGTACTCGTGGAGGTTGGGGTGCGCGAACAGCGCCAGTCGCGACACCAGCGAGGTGACCAGAAGGTTGACGTCGTACGGCTGTCGGTGCATCTTCTCGATGGTGTCCAGGACGAATGCCAGGAAGGGCCCCTCCTGGAAGCCCCTGTGGTCGGCCTCGGGCTGTGAGTCCGAGCTCTGGTCATCTTCGGCGCTCGTGTGCTCTTCGCACAGTGGCTCGCTGGGCCAGTCCCAGGCTTCGCTGACTGCCAGTGCCTCCTGGTACTGGCGGTGGGCGTCCGCGATGTAGGCGTCGTAGCCAGTGTCCTCGCAGGACTTGATCTCGTCGGGGAGGAGCAGGAGGAAGCAGTTGAGGATGCGGTGGATGCGGGCCGGTGCGAAGGTGCGGCTCACGGGGGACGAGCCCGGGGACACGTCGAAATCGTTCGGGTCGCCGCCGCCACCGTCGTCGTCGCTCAACTCTGGCACCTCGCCGGCAGCGCCGTGGTAGCCGCGCCCCACCAGGTGTCCCAGCACAAGGCTGTCCAGGATGTCCCTGGACGGTCGCTGGAGCAGCTCTTCGAACACCTGGGTGAATGACAACGAACTGTGCGGTCAAACCCAGGAAACTCCTTGTACAGGAAGCTAGCCAGCCCATTGGGGCCGACTAACTTGTGGCTGTATAAACATACAATGCAACAATTATTGTACTGGGACGCCTGGTAGCTGTGTCCAACGAGGTATCCCAGCACTCGACCGTCCAAGACGTTCCTGGACAGTCGAGCGCATTCATAAAGCTGGAGCAGCTCTTCAAACTCCTGGAGGGGAAAAAAACCCACGAACACGCATACTAAATGCGCAAGTCACGAGACATTCGCCGCACTTGATTGGTTTAGCCAATGAAAGAACACGTACAGGGTGATGACGAATGCCATGAGATCGCATTTTGATGCTGTCCGATTGGTCCCACTCGCTCGTAGCGTCGGCTGTAGCATCGATTTAACGGGAAGGCGAAGTGTAGAGATTGCTCGTCATCTGCTCTGGTCGGCTTATGCACTGGCCAATTGATCGTCAACATCGTCTAAGTTTCCAGACAATGTCAAGAACTAAAATTAACTTGGCAAAATATTAGGATGGCAGCTACTGTGATAAAAGAAAACCAGGGTCTTGTACTCCCGATGGGATCACGGGATTATTGTGTCTGCCACGTGTCTTTGTGCCGTGACCGCAGAGTACTATGGCACTTGTGCCGCTCCCGTCAACCTTCACCACCTCTCACGAGCATGCGTGCGTCGAGCTTGACCATTCTGCACCGGAGCGCTAGGAGCAGCAGCTGACCTGGGGGAGCGCCTGGGCTAGCGCAAAAGGTACGCAAATTATACTCAGGATTATTACAGGTCAACCTTCTTTGTCTTAATTGTAAATTGACCTCTAATTTAAAAAAAAAAAAAAAAAAAAAACTAGGCTAAGAAAGAGAGAGGAAAAAAAAAACCACTATACTACATTTGAATAAATATGGTAGTAACTGCAGTAAAGTTGACATTTGGGCTAGTTGGTAGTCTAACATAATGAGGTATTTAGGATGAGGTATCTTGTCCTTCTTTCTACCTTGTGCGCTAAATACCTCAATATGGTAGTAACGGTGCGGCTGTCGATCGAAACAGCAGCGAATTTGGACCTAACCCTGCTTCCGATGCAACTAAAGAGCAGTGTCACTTTTAAAACACAAGTGTAGGCTTTCATAATATTTGTGGGTAATTGTTTTTGCAGTTAATGATATTAGAGTCGAGTTTGGTAGATTCGTAGAACTTGGGGGAAGCGTTTCTATTGAAAGACATGTCAGCGGATATGCTGATTCTTGCTGGAATTTTACAGAAATTGTATCTCTAGGCTAAATAACTACTGAGTGTAAAATGGGGAAGGGAAAGTGGCTTTATCCCCAACTGAAATGTTGCGCTATAATTCATTTTTCAACCATTTTTAATACCAATTGTAAATGGGACCTACTCTGACCAGAGCCTTATTTCTAAGGAAAAGGTTATAGGTTTTTTTTGCACTCTATCTATCATGTTACAAAAGGTATTAATTAAAAAGAAAAATTCCGAGGACACCTAAGCACTTCATACGAATTGTGAATGCGAAGGCATGAATGTCGTTCTTCCGCTCCCTTAGTTCGTCTGCGGCGTACTGGCGTGAACGGCCATGTTTCACTACTGCCGAGGTTGCGGCTGAGCGCGCACTCTCGTGAAGCGGCCGCCAATAGCCATCTAGGAGCCATTGTGCTAAGCAAATGGGAGAATGGGCATTTCTTTCGTCTTTTTTTGGAATTACAGATGCCACCGGCTGCGCTCCATGGGATAGCTAATGCTTTCGCATTAATACGCTCCGGTATCAAAGAGGAACCTCAATCATTATCATAGATGAACTGATTTAGAGATGCAATCACTTTTTCATTTTCAAGTGATGTGTTAAGAGGTGTTGGCATTTGCTCCAAAAGTAGCAGCGGCTGCTCTAAACCAATACTTTTTTGCCTGCTACAGAACCTGCTACAAAAGTTCAAATGCCACTTCCATCACTGCTCCTGACATCGTCGACATCGTCTGGACATTCGTACAATGACAGGGCCAGTGCAGTTGAAGAGCATTTTCTACACTTTGTTTCATCGTCTCAAGTCAAAGCGCAGGCGACGGTATGAGTCAACAAGGTCGATCAACCAGCGTCGAAAGTGTGACATCATGGCATTCGTCATCTACCTGTATGTGTTCTTTCATTAGCTAAACTAATCAAGCGCTGAAAATGCACCTAGACTTGCACTTTTAGCTTGCGTGTTTGTGACTATTCATGTGTTTGAATCTTTAACTGTGCTCTGACCTAAGATAAAACAAACTATACCGTGGATAAAAGACGCCGTGAAATGCATATTTGTACTGCCTTTCATTTTTTTATACTTCTCGAAACACCAAAATTGACCAACAATAAAATATTTATAATTTTTGCAGGAAAGCCCACCTCTGCCTGGGTGTGGCGCAATCCTTAGCAAAAATTTCGCTTTGGCACAAGACGTAACAGACGTTCGTTGATGCTGCAAATGGTGCAACACTTCCATCACTGTTGAGAATTTCTTTTGCATACTAGCTTTGAGGGTAATGAGCTCAAAAGTGACATAAGGCTCCTAGTTTCCAGCTTACTTGCCATAGAGGAAGTGCACCAGCTCACCTAGAAAATCGACAGTCTTTCCCCCTTCAGTTTTTGGGTCAGCAAGGTCTAGAAAATGGGCATGCATCCGCCCTAGGGGCTCTTGGACTAGACTGGATTGTGGCAGCTTAACCCTTTGTGTCAAGCGATCACACTGCAAAACATTCACATAACTTGCTGATCTAACTGCCTACTTCCATGTGGACGGGCATTCTACAACCAACCAATGACCTGTAGCATTACTGCAATTCACACGTTTTTGTCTCACTATATCAATATCAATGTAATATGAACAGAAAAATAATAAGACGTTCTATGACTATTTGCCATTTAGAAGTTGATATACCATATCAAGCTCGTTCGGCACATTACCCTCTGCGTGCGAGATTGAAGTAGATATGTAACAGATGCATTCCGACTGCATCGTTGGCAACAAACCGAGCCACGGGTGCGGTAGTGCATAGAGTTTGCAGTGATGCGATTGCTGCGCCATTAGCGCCAAACGGCTTACCCTGCCACGTCCTACTACATTTAGCCCAAATGTGAGGAATTTGCCCCAGCGTTGTGCCAAAGCTCGATTTCACTTTATTAGTTACTGAAAATATGATGGTTGCGGCACTGCTACAGATCCGGGTTGTTATGGTAGTCTTGTGCAAATTTTCAGAACTATCGATTCTAGCCCCAAAAAACAT